TGTCTTACTGTGGACTGATGAACAGCAAGGCTTTTGGAGATACTTTTGTAACCCTTTCCAGCTTTATGCAAGCCAACAATTCTTAATCGTAGGTCTTCTGAGAGCTCTTTTGTGCGAGGCACCATTCACATCAGGCAATGCTTCATGTGAAAAGCAAACCCAGAACTGGTGTGTGTTTTTTATAGGGCAGGGCAGCTTTAACCAACACCTCCAATCTCATCTCATTGATTGGACTCCAGTTGGCTGACATCTCACTCCAATTAGCTCTTGGAGATGTCATTAGTCTAGGGATTCACATACTTTTTCCACCTGCACTGTGAATGTTTACATGGTGTGTTCAATAAAAACATGGCAACATTTCATTCTTTGTGTGTTAGTAGTTTAAGCAGACTGTGATTGTCTATTGTTGTGCCTTAGATGATGATCAGATCACATTTTATGACCAATTTGTGCAGAAATCCATATCATTCCAAAGGGTTCACATACTTTTTCTTGCAACTGTATACGTTTGTATGAATGTATACATGATTGTGTGTGTATGTCTGTGATTGTGTGTGTGCGTGTATATGATTATTTATCTGTTTCTGTGATTAGGTATGTGAATGCATGTGATTATGTATGAATGTGTGTCTGTGATTATGTGTGTCTTTGATTATGTGTGTGAATGCCGGTGATTATGTGTGAATGTGCGTCTGTGATTATATGTGTGTGAATGCCTGTGATTATGTCTGTGTCTATGATTGTATGTGAAGGTTGGTTTGTGTTAATCATGTCTGAAAATACATCACATGTAAGTGTGTGGGTATGAAAATGTGTATGTGTTTGTAACGGCACCCCCAGGCATAAAAGGGGTTACAAGCCGTTTAGGAGATATCCCCTTCCAAATTCACAGGCAGCTACCAAAGACACCAATCCGCCGAACAGGAAACCGTATGAATGCTTAACAGCCGAATAGGAAAAACCGAATAGGTTTACACTCCTAGCAGTCGAACTGGAACAGAATACAATAAATCCCCACCAAGAATGAGACAAGGCTCCGTTTTGAGGGTCAAGCAGGAACAGAACATATATGTGTCTTTATTGGCCTTATATACACATTCTTACACATTAGTACCACCCACAGGGTTTTGCAGAACAACCAATCAATATGTACAATACACTCAGACACTCCCAGCAATCTCACACACAAAATCCGCCCCTCTGCCTGTGATATAATTACTAAACAAAATGGGCTAACATAATTATCACAGGCAGGAAAATACACAGTTTTACAAAATATTCATAACTTTAAAAGTATACATCACATTCATATAACATTTTACACTTTCACTTACATTTTCAGAATCAGCATACTCCAAATACAAACATACGTCAAAATCATACAAATTGGTCCAGTGGTTCAAAAGTTAGGTCGAAAGTCCTTTGTAACAACTGAAGCATCGCTTTTCCAGCCCAAACCAGTTCCACAGAGTCCTCTATCCTGGAGATAATTGGCTTAACTGGGTGTAGTAAGCCAACTATCTCCAGGTACAGAAAATATCTCTATTCACAACAGCAACAATACACAAAAATACATAACTCCTATCATACTGAACAATATATCCAAACAGTGCTCAGATCCCACAAACACAGGCAAATCGCCATGGGGTTTAATGTAGCATGGGCTGATGAGAGGGGCCATAGTCATGAGGCAGGAGGCTGGCAATCAGGTTTCTCCATAACCCAGTGGCGAGGTTAGTTTCACCACAGTGTTTAGTAGATAAATTCCTAATTTGATATTCTTAAACATGGCAATCCCACATAACAATAGCAAATAAGCAAGTTATCTACTAAGCAATTGAAAAATCTAAATTAAGAAAAAGGCTTTTCTTAAATTTGATCAATCAGCTGCTTAGTAGATAACTAGTGACAAAAATAGATATATAACAATAATTCTATACCTTGATGGTACTTCTGGGAATTCAACATACCAAAAATGCAATAATTATTTATTTGAACACTTATAATGAGAACTTAGGGTCATGCAGAAAAACCCTACCCATTGGTCTTTTTACCATTCAAAAACATTGTTATTCACTAAAGTGAAAATTCAAAATGAATTCAACCGTATTTCAAATTTAAGGTCAGCTATGCTTTTCATTTTGGCTACTCTGGTTATAAATTTGAAATTCACTTTAAATGCCCCCGTTGGTGAGATTAAATATTTTGTACATTTTGTAGAGTTATCAACGGGTTTGATAGAACAGGAACAAATATGGTACTTTTATCATTGTAACAGAATCCTCTGTTACCTTGGTACTTGGAGAAGACTGCAGGTCAGCCTCCTTCCCACTCACTATGGGCCCTGGCCTGGAATACGTTTCTGTATTGGGGTGGTAGGTACACGGAAGTCATTAGACTGCTTTTCCCCCTGGTTTGGGTTTGTTGGGATATCCTTGTTTCAAAAGAAGATTCTTTCGGGCTTAGTATGACTCTCCATTGCCCTCTGTTGGTGGAAACTGGAAAATGCATTGATTTGTATAACTACAATATGCAAATTAGGAAAGTGCAAAATAATGACCATTTGCATCTGTACATCTGTGTATTTCTATAGTTTGGAGAGTTGTAATTGTGTTGTATATTTGAGGCATTATTATGTTCCTTGTTCTTCACAGTAAGTATGTTTATAATTTTATGTTTTTTATCACTTACTGAAGGACTAGTTGGCAAATGTTAGTCCTAGTTTAAAAATGAAGTAGTGTATTTTAGTTCCTTTAGAAATGTGTCTTGAATCTAATTTGTTCAGGGATCCTGGTAACAGAGTCTTCAGACCGGTTGGCTAGCTGCATGGTCCTTGTAGCATGAAACAAAATCAGAGTAGCTAGGCTTGAGTGCTGGAAGTGCCTTTATACAGGCAAGAGCTATTCACAGTGCAGAGGTGTGGATTCCTGCCTGGGAAGTAGAGCTGCAGAGGGAATGATACTTGTCTGGAAGGAGAAAGCTGCAGCCTGGTCAGGTGGAAGAGCTCCGGAAAGACCAAACGTATTCTGTCTTAGTACGGCAGCTCTGTCACAATCATCTTGTGGGAGATTTTTTTTAAGGTAAAATAGGAACAATTTAGGTACAAAGTGTTAAATGTTGAGACATGTTCTGTTGGTTTCCATGGTGATTGCTCCTTATTTAGCTCTTCGCCCCAGTCTAGCACCTATCTTTGCCTTGATAAATTCAAAGTAGTTAATAAAACAATTTGGGTACCTAAGCAAACAAATAAAAACATAGATGTAGTTCATTGTTTTTGAGTTTTAAATGTTTATTTCTTTTCCAGATTTTTACATATTTTACAATAATAATGTGCAATTTTACAGAAGTAGTTCCCATATCAATATCAATATATAATAAACTCTGCTCGTATTCAATTATATAGTTCCTTATTTAGTTCCTGCAAGTTATTATTGAATTTATTTGCTATCGTATATATCACAAATATCATTTCAACCAAACTTCTACTAAATAATTAAAGAATTAAAAAAAGAACGAAAACAACAACAAAAAAACCCCAAACCATATAAAGAAAAAAAAAACTAAATAAATGAAACAAAAAAAACAAAAAAAAAACAAGCAACTAATTTATGTATATTTCTGTATACACTTCCAATGTGTTTTTACATTGCTTATTCAAAATTTGCTCTTAGAAATGATAAAAGGCACACAAAAAAAATGACAAAAGATGACAGACAGCAGTGGAAATCAAACAAACCTATCCTTTATTTCCTGCCACACCTGCCAGTCCTTTTTACATTTATTTTCCTTGCCCTCAGCCTATAAGCCATTAGTTCATATTGGCTTGACATATCTACTCTTGCTAACATATCTTGCAACTTAAGAGAATGGGTTTTCTTCCAATTAAATGATATACAAGCTTTAGCTGCTATGAGAATGTGAACTAAAACTGTACATTTTGATTGGTTTATCTCTCTCGGGAACATATGTAATAAATACATTTGAGTTGTAGGAATCAAAGAGAATCCGAATATTGCATTAATTACCATCTCCACCTGTTTCCAATAATTTATTAAAGGACCACTATAGGCACCCAGACCAATTTATCTTAATGAAGTGGTCTGGGTGCCTGGTCCAGCTAGGATTAACCCTTTTTTTTAAAAATATGTTTACACTGAGGGTTAATCCAGCCTCTAAAGCCTCTAGTGGCTGTCTCATTGACAGCTGCTAGATGCGTTTGCGTGCTTCTCACTGTGAAAAAATTGTAAATGCTTTCCTATGAGACTGGCTGAATGCGTGCACGGCTCTGGCCGCGCATGTGCATTCAGCCGATGGCGTCACTAGGAAGAAGGAGAGGAGGAGGAAAGCTCCCCGCCCGGCTCTGGAGAAAGGTAAGATTTTAACCCCTTCCTCTCCCCAGAGCCCGGCGGGAGGGGGACCCTGAGGGTGGGGGCACCCTCAGGGCACTATAGTGCCAGGAAAACGAGTATGTTTTCCTGGCACTGTAGTGGTCCTTTAAACACGGACATGACCAAAACATATGAATCAAGGAACCTCTATCCCTCCGGCATCTCCAACAATCCGGATACTCATCTTTATATAAATGTGACAGTCTAGCAGGAACCAGATACCATCTCATAACCAATTTACAATCGACCTCCAAATTGAATATACTACTAGATGATACAAAAGAGAAAGGAAGCATCTCTCCTAGGGTAAATTTCCAAGTAAGGGCTTATAGTATAACCATGAGTAATAAAGAAAAAAAAGAACTTCAGTCCTAGGTACATAAAGTCAGGGATTGAAGTGAGGAAATTCCCATAATTTCTCAAATTGATGATGGCTGGACAAGAGAACCAAGTAATAACTATTAATAAAAAGCTCAGTGATACTTGTGAAAAATGAGTAATTTCAAACAAAAAGTCCACTTGAAGAGCCTCTATAATTTTGGATAAATCTTTATTCAGTTAGGGCAGGGGTTCTCAACTTTAGTCCTCAGGACCCCCTACCAGTCCAGGGTTTAGGGATTACCTGGGTGTGTCTAAGGTGTTTAGAAAAAGAAAAAAAAAACAAACACCTTAGACACACCCAGGTAATCCCCAACAGGGCCGCCATCAGGGCATGACAACCGTAACGGTTGTCATTGGCCCGGCGGTCCTGGGGGGCCCGGACTGCTCAGGTCGTCCGGGCCCCACATTAAGTGGGTACATACCGGGTCGCAGGGGGCCCTGCGACCCCGGTATGTACCCACAGGGCCAGCCTCTTCTCCTGGGGGGCCCAGCACCCGGTCACATCAGGGCCCCCCAGAGGCTGGCCCTGAAAGCCGGCCGGCGCACGAGGGAGCACTCTCCTCTGCTGCTTCCTCTTCGGCTCCCTCGCGCACTGTACTGAAGCCGGAGCCGGAAGATGACGTCATCTTCCGGCTCCGGCATCAGTACGCGGCGCGCGAGGGGGCTGAAGAGGAAGCAGCAGAGGAGAGTGCTCCCTCGCACGCCGGCCCGCTGGGTGTGGTGGGGGGGGGGAGGAAATTTAAGGGAGGAAGGGGGGAAAG